TCATAATAGTTCCCAACCTGGCCCGTCAACTATTCCACCAGATGGATCACTCTGCCAATAGGTTAGCCATGCACCGCCGTTCTTTCCTTTGCTGCTCAGGCACTTCTCCGCTGCAACTTTCAATGCCACAGCCACAGATGAGTATCGATAGGCTCGGACCCTTTAACTAACGAGTTCTCTTGCGGCTCGCACACACACTCAGCCGACTAACACTCAGATAGGCATACGGACCCCTTCGTGCAGGCACTCACAGACTTAAGGCCCCCAACGTACTGAGGCCCGACGGATGCTCATATCCCAGTTGTTGGCTTCGGTCCGTGCTTGGCCAATCACCACAAGATCCCAATGGCATATTACAGAATCGCTTCTTCAGTAGCGAGACATCTCTCTCTCTCCCCCTGCACGCTCATTTACTGCAAAAGGCCGTGCTGAACTCGTACAAAAAAAAAGAAAATCAAGAATGAATCTCCCGCTGAAAAGCGGTAGGATTCATCCTCACCTTCAAGGTCCCCCCCCCTGCAGGTAAGCGGCTCCGACTCCTCTGTCTCCTTCTCCCTAGCTGGCGTAGCACCACTCCCTTGAATCGTGCTACGTAACTCCCGAATGAATCTCCCGYTGAAAGGCGGGCAAATACATGCATACTACCAAATGCTCCCTCCCTCGCGCAGTTCAATCCTTTACTTACTACTAACTCACTAATTTAACACAAATTCTATTGTTACCACTGAACTCGCCCGATCCCAACATMCCGTTTATGAATCTTCCCTTGTCCGAACCGGCTCGGAAACGAGCAACGCACATTCGTTTCCTCTCCTCTCCGCCATACTTTCACGCAGCCATACTCTTTCCCACCTCAAAATCTACTCAATGATACCGAAAACTAACACCACAGTCTATTTCGCCCTATCCTGAAACGCCAGAATGGCATCTTCCCCCACCCGATTCCGTTAGGAATCGGTTGAGATAGAGTTTCTTCGCTCCTTCCTCCTATGGCTCCGTCATCTCCAAACGTACAAGCACCTGGCCCTGAAAACGGGCCGGGTTCATTCGCTCCTTCACCGTGCTCCGCCTTTCCGTTTACAGCTACGTCTGCGCTGCCCGTTGTCCGCCTTGGCATCAGGCCTTCTCCTGGTTGCCAGATTTCACCCGATAGGCACTTAACGCCACTTGTCGCCCAGATTTATCCACACTTTTCCTTCCCTCATCGTCTCCGTACTAACGCCGACCGTATCCCCTGGCTTCCGACCAGCGTGCCTCATCCTTCCCGTTCCCTCTATCCTTCTCTCTCTCTTACCGTGCGCGCACCCGGCCCGAAGCCCCGTCCAGGTCCATTCACCCTTCTCCCTCGTCAACTCCGATACCCTGTGCTCCGCCCGTCTTGATGCCTGCCCTCCTAATACTTAGCGCAGCTCTACGCAGCGTCCACTCCCACCGCGTCCGGTCTTAACAGATGGCGACAAAAGAGAATGAGCAAAAAAAAGGGAAGAAGCCCAGAGCGCGCCGACTTTCCTTCGTCTTATACACGTTGCCCTTTCCAGACAGACCCTGCTAATCCCGAAGTCGCACTGACTGACCAGTCTCCCAACAGCCACAGTTTTTCCCTAGAGAGGCTAAGCCTTTCGACGTGGCCGAACTACTASGCGACCCGGTAACTCCTCCGACCCCCTTTCTCAGCTACCCGACCCGGCAGCGCTGCCTACAGCGGTCTGCCCCACAGTCGCCCCACAAATGCTGGTATTTTGGCACAAATTGTTGCCAGATTCACTTCCTGCTCATGCACAACACTTCTCGCGTAGGGTCCATGCTAATCTTCTCTGTGTCGTTCCAATTTTAGCGGATGTCCCGAAGGACAACACCAACACGGACGGATGTCCCGAAGGACTTGGCGCCGGCCGGTGCCCCCTGCTGTGTTTTCGCGTCCACATACGGGCGCGACAATAATAATAACTAAATAAACTTAGAAATAATGTATATATATATATATATATATATATATATATATATATATATATATATAAATGAGCGGTAGTCGGGCAGGGACCACGGCACCCCTCTCAGCCTGCCCGTCAACCCCACGCTTGGCCCCGCGGCAGCAAAAGGCGAGGGGGATAGTCCCATAGGCCCATCAACCCCTCAAGCCTTTTCGCCATGCTCCTCTACTCCCTTGCCTCACGCTGTTGGCCTCGATCCCTGCGCCTGCTGCGTACCAGTCCGATGCTATAACCTATAGGGCTAAGCCCAAGCCTGGTACCAGCAGGCCTGACTCACCTAATAAAGAGGTAGCCCCCAGCCTTATAGGGCCAAAGGAGCCACCCTATGCCATTTCCTAACCCATACTCACACACATGACCACAAAAAGGCCGCGCCAACCTCTCGGCTGTGCCGCGGCTACCCTCACTCGGTCGAATTCATCAGGTCCCATCATCTGGATGCCGCTTAAGGCCACACTCGCTTACTGACCCGTTCATCGTTCCATTCGGAACCAGACAAAAGCGCCTATAGGTTAGCCAGCTTAGTCAAAACAAAACAATTGTTATAATGGAGCGCGCCGACCGATGTCCGCGCCACGTCTGCTAGTGTAACAAAAAGGAAGGGAAAATCACGCGCGCCTCAAGCTTGCGCGCCCGCCCCCCCACTCTTTTACTCTCGTCAACCATCTAGTCAACATAAATTACAGACGCGGCCGCGCCTAGCGTGGCATATTTAAACTTTAAACCAAACTGCTTTCTATTGTTTGCAAAGAACAGGGCGGATACCCTTGTAAGGGTATTCGCACCAATGTTTACCGGACCATATTAAGCGACGTCCCTGTCGCTTCGCGGGATAAAAAAACTATCAATTCAATCACAATCCCAAAGTGCTGACGAGCAGGGTACCAATCCGATTAAATGACAGACCCAGGGTTGAAGCCTCCAATAATCCATGCCAAACATAACTTTATGCTGCCAGGATTCTATTCTGGGTCTCCGTCTCCCTGACACTCGGACGTCGGGATACTCCTCACTGTACCGCAGCATAAGCTCCATTGGATCTCTCACCGTCCCCCTCCCTGTGCCCCAGACAACCGCCGACTTCCCGTTATGTGCCCCTAGCCCTTTTCCTTGAAACCAAGTCGTGACTAGGCGCGCGGACCCTAACCAAGACCTTCGAAGGCATTCTCTCGCCTTCCTCTAAAAAATCTTCACTTTTAACATACGTAGCCGTACCACATAGACTCTCACATAAGCTCTCCTGCAGTCTAGTACAGGAAGACCAGGTCTCCATCTTGGCCCACCATAGTCTGGGTGATCATTCCAGATCTACGGCCCACCGCATTGTTATTTCAGCGGTAGTGCCTTCGCGGGTTGCGCCACGATAGGCTGTTCCTGATAAGCATTCAATCAGGACTTCCTCAAAAGATTTGTATGACTCGACTCTTATCCCACGCCTCTCCGCATGATTAAAACCCTCCTAGGCGTTCACGCCCCTTTAAGTCTTTACTCCCTTGGCCAGACGCAGACCCTCTGTTCAGGTTGTACCAAACAGCGGCCGACACCAAGGGTTGCGCCTTAGTGATGCTAGTTATACCCCTAGCTGGGTCGTCTTATAAATGTCCAAGATTAGCACAAATGGTCAGGCGGTGTGTCGCAACAATACAAGCCTACTGCGGGACTACGCATATACTTGTCACACATAAAAGGTATTTACCAGTTCCTCTGTGGGACAACACAGGGGAAGCACGACAACCTCTTCATAATCATAAAACAAAAATCACCGCCTGGTTCACAAGGCCGTGGCCTCCCATCTTGATCAGAGCAAAAAAGTCACACATCTTGATGACATCTCTTAAAACACACCATTTGCGACATACAAGAATTCCACCAATAGTCCAACAAAAATTTGATCCCTCTCGTCAGTCTTTTATTACTCAAAGTCAATCTTTCATTTATCAATCTTATTAACCACCTTATTTATAGAGGAGGTCTTACTTTAATAGGTCTCTAAGTCATCCCTCTCTTACTAAGAAGAACTCTCTCGCGACCTTTTCTTTAACGCATCTTCCCTCTCTGAAGGTGCGTCTTCCAAATAGATAATGGACAACCTTTTCATTCACAGGTGTCCTACTCATCATATGATCCATATAAAAAGACCAACTTATGGGTCCTCTGCACAGCTCAACAATAAAACACTTACCATACAAATGTTCCGAATTCTCACATCCCCTCACAAAACAGACTGCGCTTCCTTGCCTTATACTCGGCCCTCTTATCTGCCCATGGGCAGATCGCACGAGTATACCGGCGAGTAGACAGTTGACATTCATCCAGATTCACAAAGTACAAGATACATCAAGCATTTTCTCGCGCATATTTCACACCAAACCATCATCCATCAAGCCAGGACCACACAAGTGAGTATGAGAGTGATCGTCATATACAACAAGTAGTCCCCCCCCAAAAAAGTCTCGATATAATGTACACTCAGGGATAAAATATCCCACATGAAATGCCTCCAACATACACTCAGGGGCAGAACGCCCCATACACAAATGTCCCCAAATCGTAACCCTCTCAACTCACTCAAAGCCACACTCACACTGATGTCGTCCTCAAAGTACAAGTTGTGTCCGTCTTTCGAAGATCAGGGCGTAGGCCACCTAAGTATGTACAGGCCTCATCTATCATGTCCCGGTCCTCAAGATGGCAGACTTAACAAAAACCCAGCCCATACTGCCCGACAATAGCAACATACCTAGGCCTACAGAATATCATCCAATCTTAACTCTAGTCCTACATGCAATATGTCAACCATATAGGTAACTCAGTCCTGATCGCTTATCTCCTCCTGGTTTTGCCTATATAGCTGAGCCCTACCCCCATCTGCAGATCTCTCCACTCTCCTGCCTTGCCTATCATACATCCTGCCTCCTTCCTCTGTAACCTTCCCTTCAGCCTTGTCCTTCAAAAACTTAGGACACTGCAAGGCTCGATGCCCCTCCTTTGTACAAAAGAAACAGGACGTATCGAACCACTTTCTGAACCTCTTCTTTCCTCTTTGAGATCCTGGCGATAATGGTGCTTCGCTGGCCTCCTTGCTCAACTCATGGCTCTAAGGCATATCCAAGGGCTCCTCTCGTGTCTCCACCTCCTGAGTACTTGGTCTAGGTCGGTCCTCAATCCCCTCTGGCCCATACTCGGGCGTGCCCAATCTCTGGAGCCCGCCCTCGATGACACCCTCAGCCTCAATCCCCATCTCTCTCTCGAGAGGCTCCTCTATCCTTTGCTCAGGCGAAAACAAACTCGCCTCCTCCTGCATCGAGTGCACTGCCTCAATGAGCACGTTCATAGATCCCTTTGTCGAGCCCTGAGCCGGCTCACTGCTGGATGGTGGTAGCCCCTCCTCAACTGCCAAAGGTATGACTGGGTGCGCTGCTATCGGTAGCGTCGCGAGCTCAGTAGGGGCTCTAAACTCGAAGGCCTCTCTCTCTTCTTCCCTCTGGGCTCTCGCCTCCTCTGGTTCTAGGATAACTCTCCCCATAGGTGGCTCCTGGCGAGTCTCTGCTACAGATGGCTGTCCTGGCAAACCATGTCCTGGCTGCCTCTGCTCTCCCTGCCGGCTGCTCTCTGGCTTGTCCACCCTTCCCTGGGTTTGCTGCCTCAGGCTCTCGATGATAGCTGCCTGGCTGGCCACCAATGCCCTGAGTTCCTGGATTTCTACCTCCATAGCCTCCAGGCGTACTCCATGGCCGGCTTCCTTTATCTTCTTCCCTGCCAGATCGCTTTCGAACAACAAGTGCCGGTCAAAAGTTGTCTTGGCCAGGAAATTGATCTTGCGATCCAACCTTTCTTCTGCCTTCCTTGCCACCCCAAGCCCGACTCTGACTGGCGAAGGAATCTCCTCTCCTCTTTGCTCCCAGAAGTCCCTCCACATCTCAGGGATCTCCGGGGCCCTAGCTGGCGCGCTGGGTGGCTGACCTGGGAGTGCTCCTGCTGCCTCCGATCTCTGCCTCTCCTGCTGCTGCTCCGGAATCTCCCCTGCTGCCTCCAACCTCTGCCTCTCTTGCCATTTCTCGTCTATCCTCCTGGTTCTTCTCGCCCTCTTTTCCTCTGCTGTCTCTCCAGCTGGCGCCCTTTCCCTCGTGCGGAGGTCAACCCTCTTCGGGATCTCTGCCTCCATCTCCTTCTCGGGCTGGCACGGCTCCTGGCGCGGCTCTGCAGGTGCTAGCTCTTCCAGGTCTGGGTACTCCAGGGCATGAGATGCTAGGTGTCTATCAATCAGGGTCAAGGCCTCTCTCCTTACAGCTGCCCTCTCTCTCCTCCTTTCTGCTCCCTCTTCTAGCGAAGAAGCCTTTTCCGATGAAGGTAATGGGGCCTCATCTCTCTGCAACCTCTCCCCTCCCTGGCGAGTGCTTCCCGGTGCATCCCCGAGTCTCAACCCCACCGCTGGCGTTTGAGGTCCATGCTCCTCACCCCGAGGCGACGCTCTCCACTGAGAGATATACAAATGCGCCTCCAACTCCCTCAAAAGCTCCTCAGACGTTGGCGGCTCCTCCTGTGTGCATGCTGGCGACCTCTTCAATCCACCCTCGACAAACCGATGGAACTCCACTGATCCCAACCCACACTCAGGGTACGCGCCTCGCTCCTCAGCCTCTGGCTCCGGCTCCTCCTCTCTCCTAGCTAGGGTCTTTCGTCCTCCTCGGGATGGTCTCGCCTCCCTTGGCTAAGGGTCCCTCTGCCTCTGACTCATCTGACGCCTCTCAACTCTGGGCTGAGGGGGCTCTGGTCGTCGAAAGACCTCTCTGAGATGTGCCCTGCAGCTCTCCCAGTCCCGGGCCATGTTTCTGACTTGGCTAGCCTGTGGCCTTTCCGCCTTCCTGGTCCAGAGTGGTAGCGTCTGCATCCAATCATCTCTCGGTATACCCAGCCCCTGCATGAACCACTCAAACGCGGGGATGAAATCCGACGTATTTCCAACCTCCAGGCGGATCGGCCTGCCATCAGGTCCCACAGGCGAGGGTTGCAGCTCCTGCATCCTCCACTCCACCTCTGATCTCGTCTTCGCCTCTCTACGGATCCACGCGACGGGCTCCTCGAATTTGCCTGCTCCCCTCAGTCTCTCAATCGCCTGGGTCACGGTCCAGCCCATACACCTCGCATGATCCCAGAAACTGTTTTGGAATAGCTTGATGTCCCCATCATCGTACACCGGAGTACTCTCTCGATGGCGAGGCCCATGTCGCTCATATCCTCCTGATGCTCCCAACGGCCTCTGAGGCAGCCGTGTCCCCTTCCTTCCTCTTGGCATGGCTGTCTTCGTAAAGTCAGACCTGCACAACAGTCGAAGGAGACAACAGACACACATTGGGGTAAGCAAACAGGTGATAGTCAAAGCAAGCCCAGACTAGACCACACTCATACAACATGCATCCTACCTGACCTACACACCCTGCTACTTTTATTCTAAAGGGAGTCAGGTCATCTCTCTTACCTCTTCTTTCGCCACAAATTTCTTCAGTCGCGTTCCAGATACCCAATCCTTCCACTCAGTCCCATTTAGCTCCTCAATCTGGTACGCTCCAAAATCTTCGACCCGTACGATCTGATAAGGACCTAACCACCTCTTATCGAGTTTCCTGAACCATTGCTTTTCCAGCGATGAATCGTAGAGAAGCATGACATCCCCAACAGCCAAGGGTACTTTCCTCACTCGCGTAGACTGATCCCATCGAGCCTTATCATCCATACGGCTTCTCGCCACCTGATCAGACGCCTCCTGGATCCTTTCTTCTATTGCCCCTATCTGCCGCGCCCGGATATCGAGCAACTCTTCAAATGAAAGGTTAACTTCCAGATCCTGGCACCTCCATGTCTTAAGTAAGCTTTCGATAGGGAAGGTGGCGTGCCTTCCATACCACAGCGTCGCCGGTGCATACTTGGTGGATCTTTTTACTGTAATGTTCTCGACAAAAAACGCCGCCCTTAGGTACCTTGGCCATTGATTAGGCCTACCTTCGGTCCACTTAGCCAGGAGGCTCGTAATGGTATTATGTCCTCTCTCCACGGGAGCATTTGCCTCGGGGTGCGCGGCCGTGGTGTAGTTGGCTGCTACACCATACCTTGATAACAATTCTTGCACCTCCTGGCAGGTAAACTCTGATCCCCTATCCATTACGAATTCCCTGACGAAAGGATAGCGCAGGTAATACTCCTCGATGCATCTCACCAGGACTGACCCGGTCTTTGTGCGAATAGCATGCCCGTCTACGAACCCAGACAGGTTATCGCGCGCATCGAAGATATAGTTATAACTCTGATCCCCAAGCGGCATAAAAAGCAGATCGAGATGCACTACAGCCCCCACCTCTCGCTCTAGCCTTGGATGCAGTGGATCTCCTTGCCTTAAACGGGATCTTTCCTGACAGGGTACGCAGGATCGACAGAATTTCCCGACCATATTCATCATCCCATCCCAGTAGTACAACTCACTTATCTTGGCATACGTGGCTTGTACCCCTCGATGCCTTCCTGCAATGCCATCATGAAGTGTTGCTACGACGTCAATCTGGCGGTTCCTACCGCAGACGACTCTCCTAGGATTCCCCACTTCTCTTCTTACGAAGAGGTGGCCATCTCGCACTAAGTAGCGCTGCAGCATCCTCTGAGCCCTATCGCTTGCATCCCTTAGCCGCATCTCGCAAGACAAGAGAAGCCCCAGCTCTAGATAGATCCCATCACACTCCTCCGCTCGAAAGGCCTCCTTAATCTCTCCCTCCTCGAACTCGTCGTCCTGGCTCTCGGGCACTTCGTCCACATTCCCTGCCAGGTTCAACGAGCCTGAGTGGTCGAGACTTTCCTGCGATAGAGTGTTGACGAGGAGATACATTCCTCCCATCAGATCCTCATGCCGTTCTACCTGGCCTGGTCCTTCCTCGATCGTCCTCATGTCTTCCACCAGACTATGCGAACTGGCCAACGCTAGCTCCATCATCCATTGAACGTCCTTACCTCCCCAAGGATCTTCTTCTTCAAAGAGTTTGAGGTCTAACTCTGCCCTCCTTTCGTATCCACTCGGCGCTTGCCAAATAGGATAGCCCACACAGCTAGGCACCCGCGACGACCACTTGTTGATATGGAGACGGACATCTTCCTCCTGATCCAGGAATCCATCAACTGGGGGCGTATTCTCTACCACTTCTCCTGTCCGGTTATCCCTGTTGATACGACTTTGCCCGTCCGCCCGGTTCTTGCTACCAGGTATACGCTCCAACTCGAAGTTAAACATCTAAATGTACGTCAGCTATCTGGCAACCGTCGGATCCGATGGAACGTTATTCCTCAGAGAGTAGGTCAGGGCGGTCAGGGCGGTCGGGTCCACTCATGCCGAAGATGTAGTTTCGGAAGATCCGTAGACAGTGGAGGACAGCAAGGGTCTCCCTTTTGAACTGAGAGTAGTTCCTCTCTGTCGTACAAAGAGTCCGACTCTCAAATCGCAAGGGCCTTTTCTTTCCTTCCACGCCTGCCTGAATTAGAACTCCTCCTAAGGCAGTGGGCCCCGCATCTGTTTTAACAATGAAGGGTCGCGTTTCCGTGACATCATAATCTGGCGCTCCTAACACCAACCCTCCCTCTCGAAATTCCTCTTTCATTCTGGTCACTACCTCTTCTTGCTTTTCACCCCAAACCCTTCTTGATCCTAACGAACTAACTTCCTCAGGTGCTCAGTTTTAGCGCCGAAGTTCTTGACGAAGGCTCTCCAAAATCCACACGTACCAAGGAAGCTCCTGACATCAGTTATTGAGTGGAAAGGAACTGGCCACTCAGTAATCTTGTCCGTCTTCTTCGCATCCGGCCTTCGGCCCTTCTCGCTGCAGACGAACCCCAAGATAATTGCTTCCCTCATGCAGTGTCTGGATTTTGCCCCGCTCGCCGTGAGGTTATGCTCCTCGAGCAGGCTCAGGACCTTATCGAGGTCCTGGATGTGCTTCCAAACAAAGCGCCTTACCCCTGGCGAGACTTCGTCACTCTCCTTCACTGTCGGCCCCTTCACTGCCAAATCATCGATGTATGGCTGTGTGATATGAGGGCCGACTGACTGCATAACACGAATCATGGTCCGTTGGACCATTGCTACCGCGTTGGTCCACCCTTGTGGGGCCACGTTCATGTGGATTAATCCTCGTGGAGTGTGCATAGCCGTCACCGGCCTATCCGGCGGGTAGACTGGAAACTGATCATATCTTGAGTACAGGTCTATAAGTGAGATTATAGGTCTTCCAGCACAGGATTCTGACAGAGCATCTGCATTTGGCAGTCCTCCAGCATCCCGCACGGTTACCGCATTCAGCCTTTGCAAATCATGCACCCACCGCAGCGTCCCGTTAGGTTTGATGAAGCAGAACCACGGGGACGCATACAGCCCACTCGAATAATCGGCGACGTGCGTACATATCTTGCCGTCGAGGTAATCCACCACCTTCTTCATCTCGTCAGGATTAGGATATCGCGCCCCTTTCATGTTCCAAGGCTCGTGTGGCACAGTATGGATGCGGATCATAGGTATTTTGTCCACATCCAGCCTGCCACACTCCTCGTCACTAAACGCATAGGCGCATGCCTCTTTTTCATCAACTCCACCATCAACGTTCGCTCATGAGGCAGTAGGAAGTCGGACTCTCCTATAATCAACTTCCCCTCATTTCCTTTGTTGATACGACATGGTCCTGCTAGAGCATTTTCCCTCATTCGTCGTATCAATCCTCGTCATCTCTCGTAATATGCTTCCTCGTCCTCTGTAACGAGGACGGGAACCGGGCGACACTTCTTGTCTACCGTCTTGTACCGCCTTTGGGAACCCTGCTTGAGCCGTCCCCTAAAAAAGGCCGACTCACAGATTGCGCTTGCGCTGACGCGGGGCTCCTCCTTCCGTCCGGAAGACGATATACCAGCTCCAATCTCCCAGCCTCGGGGCATTCCATAACTTGTTCCCTCAAGGCCTGGATGGCATCCGGATCCGCAATCTCATGTGCGGCCACCAAATCCATGGCCTTTCCGACGTCCGATAGGCTAAGGGAAACGCTTTCACCTCTTCTTCTCCTTCCGGCTTGCCCGAAGTCTTCGGCGCTCGCCCTCCGATTCTTCGATCGTGAAGGATCCTGGGTTGGGCCGGTTCCTTATACTCCTTGGTCCTGTATTTCTGCAGGTAATTATCTCGTAATTCCCGCAGGCAGGGTCACATAGGAGGAGGATCAGAGTACCGTCACGTTTGTTGAACATCACGGTTTCTGTCCTACTAAAAAATGACCTCCCTAGGAGGATCCCATGGTCCACGTCGGGCATGATGAAGAAGCAAGCTCGGGCCTTCACCTTTCCAACCTCGATGAGTACATTCAAGGTTGTCCCACAAAACACGGCCTTGCAGCTGGCGCCGTGCAAAATACCGCAGTCAGATCGGTCTATTTTTAGCATCCGCCTCTCGGATGATGTTCATTTTCACCCCGCTGTCCACCATTGCTACACACTTGGAGCCCTTCACCACCAAATCCACCATGCCGCAGGCTACACATTTCCAGTCCATTTTCGTACCCGACTCCGCCCAATCAGCCTCCTTGGGCAGAATCGTACCCAGATGGACATTGGGCACCAGGCGCCTCGACAATCTTTCCTTCAGTTCATCGCGGAGTCGCGGGGCTGACGCTAGGATTTCCTTCAGGGTCATGAGGTCATTATGCCCTTCCAGCAGCCGGTCAATCACTTTTTCTACATCAAATCCCTCTTCCAACCGAACCGCACATTTTTCTTTTTGGGTGGTCCGTCACGTATGACCGACTTGGCCTCTCCCCTGGTCCCCTTTTTCCTTGCCCGCTGCTCCGCTCTCTGATCCTCTTCTCGGCGCAGCCTCTCGTCTTCTTCTTCATCATCATCGTCGTCCTCTACTTCCACGACCTCTTTCCTTTTTCCCGGTTCGGGCTCCCTCCTCGGAGGCTCTTGGCTGGCACTGGCCTTGGCTTGATTCCTTGTTCGCGCTGCTTGTGCCAGCCGGGCCTGCGGGGTGAGGGGTCTCCCCATCACCCCCGACTGTGGGCTTGACCCTACCACATTTACTCTGGGTCGCCCAGGCGCTGACTCCGGGCCGGAGTCGTACAGGAACACCTTAGGGATGCTAGATTTTCATTTCCTCACCTCCTCACAGAGGGCCACCAACTTCCGTTGGTACCTTCCCAACTTGTCCAACAAATCCTCTATCTTCCCTAATAAGACGGACGGAGGCTCCATCCCTCTTTCCTCGTCCTCGTCATTTGACTCGATGATTATAGGCTCTTCCCTTTTGCTTCCACTTCGTGACTCTTGAGTTACTTCCTCGTCGCTCCCCACTTCCTCTACCCCAATCGGTGGTTCTTTCTTTTCCTGCCATAATCTGAATTCTCCTATCCCCACCGATGATCCTTTCTTCTTCTGCCATAGTCTGAATGTGGCAGGAGGTAGCGGCCCAGCTGCCCCCCTCCGTTGAGCTTCCGCCCTTACTCCTTCGAGTCTTCTGTCGATGAACTCCCCAAATTGATCAGAAATGTTCCTGTTCATAGTGGAGGAAATCAGCCCGCTTTTCTCGTCCTCCCGCCTTATGTTACAAAACCTTATAGTGTGGCCTTGTTGGTCACAATGCTGGCAGATGGCCGACCTCCAATCAAAGCGGGGCCTTCCGTATCCCTGACTTTCCTGATCCCCCTGGCCTTGATACCCCTGGTCTGGGTACCCTTGGCCTTGATTCCCATGGCCTTGATACCCCTGGCCTTGGTTTCCTCGGCCTTGACTATTCCATTGCCCTCCTCTTCCGCCACCATTCCTGCCTCGCCGCCTTCCTCCACCTCTCCCTTTGTTGCCTTGATTGCCCTGCCCCTAGTTCCCACCTCCAGCCCCGCTTCCCTGTGAACTGAGAGCAGGTAACGGCGGCGGGGCCACAGGCTGGGCCTGGGCTGTGGGGTAGATGGGTGGCGGCATACTCATTTGTGGTCCAGCTACTGGCGGCGGGCTACCCCATGGCACAATCGCATTGATCACCGGTCAGGGCCACTATCAGTAGGAGGGTGCCCCTCCCTGCGAGGGGCCCGCCCTAGACGAGGGCGCCGCCACACTTGGATGAGCCGCCGCCACCGCCTGAGGCGCTTGCGCTTTTCCTGATCCCTAACCGCCCTGCGCCAAGTTACGCACTTTGCGCTGGGCCTTCGTCAGGCGTTGCGGCACCGGCTCTTCACCTTCCCAGAGCTCCTCCTGAACAGCCTCCTCTATCACCGGCTCCGTTCCTTTTACTTGGACAACCGTTACTACCCTCCTTTGCACCACCGAATCTGTCGCATACCCCACCTGTGCCAATACATCTGTAACAATACTTGTTACCCCCGGGGTCCCAGAAGCGGTCGCATCTCTTTCCTTTCTTTTCTGCCTTTGCAATCGTACCTGACGTTGCTCCACCTGGTCCAAACACTCAACTTCCACCCCTCTGTCAATAGTGGCCCAGGTGAGCTTGGTGCTACGTCCTCCATACCTCGTGAACTCGACGGCCTCCGATGCCGTGAGTAGCCCCAGGAAGATGGCGCACTGTGCTTCCTCCGAAATCCCATGGACCTTTCGCGCCTATTCTTAAATTCTTGAACAAAAGCCCCTATCGTTGTAAAATCCTCTTTGTTCATTGCCTCGAGGTCCGCAGTGGTCAACTGTCTATCTCCTAGGCGGTACTTCCTCTGCATTCCCTACTTGAATCTTTCCCAGCTACCTTGGGCTGCATCTATAACTTTCTTCACTTCTTGGTGGTAGCTGTGGAGAACGTACTGGAGAATGTGCTGAAATTTTACAACATCCGACCGCCCGACCAGAGCTTGTTCCACTTTCTCCAGCCATTCTGAAACTCTCTCCCTACAAAAATGGAAGGTATCGACCTTGGGGATATTGCTCGAATTTATTTCATGCCTGTCAATAGCCGCGATGAGGTCATCGAGCGTCAGGTCTTTCTTGGGAGCACCTGATGCGCCGCCGCCCTGCGACATCTTGACAGACTCTTCTCTTCAAGCTCCCTGATAAGAGAAAACAAGCACATTCCCTTATTCACCATTACACCTTGACCGGTCTATTCCACCCGCTTTACCTAACTCTTACTACATACTTTACTCAATACTAACACTGTCTCGCCTCATAATTTCCCCTATCTCGGGCAGGTAAACTTTCTCATCTACACTTAGTCACTCATCATTCTTTTCTCCTTACCTTCTCATCATTCCTTTATGTCTTTTCTTATTCACTTCTCATACCCGGATGTCGTTCCACCAGGGACAACGACATGCTTTATGTTATCCCCGGCAACGGCGCCACCTGTCGAGCGCATCGGTCCGGCACCGCACGGGCAGCGCGGGACCCTCCCGGCCGCGTCACGCAGGAGTTGGATAAAATCCTTCGTCGCAATATACATGGAACTTCCACAAGCCGCTCCGTCCGAGTGCGCCAGCTTTACCTCCCGCGAGCCCCTACGACATGATAGGGCCTACGCGAGGCACGACTTACCTCCACCTTACGGGAGTTATCACCTCCCTTCGGTGGGCGTATCCCCACCGAGCTACCAGTCCACGGTACGAAAGCTAATCAGTTGCAATCGCAGAGGTGGACCAGCCGAGGGCGATTCTCGTTCGCTGTAGCATAGGGGGTACCCACGGTATTACGACTCTTTCGAACCCGCACGCGAACCGACATCTTGGGGGGCTGAGGTCCCAAGCGTGACTCGTCGTCGGTCGACTAGGACGCATCCCACACACCACGCGCACACCACTTTACGAACACAAAAATAAAAACATAAAACACACATACACACACATGAAAGAACACAACACAAACAATGCGACAACGCTCCTAGCCCCTCGGTATCCAACCCATAACTTTCCGGTGCGGAAAACAAATAAGCGTCGTGCGCGAGATTTTAGTATAAAAACGCGCGGACGCAGGGCCTACTCGTATCGACTCGCAATGCAGGCGTACGCAGGCAGTTGCAATGATGGCGTACTATGTAGTGCCCATAATCAAGCGGTCCCTCATGGATCCGAGTACCGCTTATGACACTCAAGTGTCAGACTCGAAGTGTCGTGAGGGTCTAATCCTTCTCGACATTGCACGGCTGAAGGAATAGCCGTGCGGCCGCCACGAGACCTCCGGCGTTTGGTCTGAGTGTCTCGGTAGACAAGGCAAATAGGCTCTGCGGGAGGGAAAACCCCTTTCCCTGCAGAGCCAAGGGCTTGGGATGTCCTGGACAAGGACCTCGAATCCCGGCCCAGAACCAACGTCCGACTAAGAAAAATCCTTAAGAAGTAAAACTAATAAAAGGAAAGGTCTCCCCTAGGCCTTTTTTTAGTCTTAACCCCTGAGCAGGCTTTTAGTACGGGGGCCCTTTCGCCAATGCAAGTATTCATCCCAAGTATATTCATATATATGCATATATAACAAGGGGAAGTATGTGACGATCACTTCTCACAGTCTCATTGGGGTCTCTCACAGCCATACGTATATATGTTATCGCAAGCAACCACATCCAGAATCTGAT